GTAGGCACTACTCCGGTTCGCTCTTCTATTGCTGTAGCTACTACTTGAGCTGTAGTAGAGGAGAGAGTTGATATAATTGCTCCTTTCTCATTGATTTCGACAGTTTCAGTGCTTCTAGGGATCCCTGATAGGCGGAACACTGCCCAGTCTTGGGAGGTCTCTAGTTTAGCTGTAGAGAACAGGGTTTGGATAAATGCTCTCTTTGTTGATAAAAGAGTATCCAGGGCTGCTTTGTTTTTAGGTACAATGGCAAATCCAGTATTAACTGTAAGTACCTCTTGTACAAGCTCTTTACAGCCTATTTTTGGNTTGTTGATAAAAGAGTATCCAGGGCTGCTTTGTTTTTAGGTACAATGGCAAATCCAGTATTAACTGTAAGTACCTCTTGTACAAGCTCTTTACAGCCTATTTTTGGGTCGCAGAGGGCAAGAAAGATAGCTAGAGCAGAGTGTTCCCTCTCAGGAGAGTCGAGGGGAAGTCGGATAAAGACCCTGAGGTCAGATTTGGTAGAGGGACCCTTATTCTTTCGAGGCTTTGAGGTAACAGGAGGCAGAGGAGGAGGTTGTGTTGTTGGTGCTATATTTTCAGGCACTAAGGCATCCATTACAGTCCGTGCGTAGGAGAATTTTCCAGCAGGAGCTAGAGGGGGGGAGGGAGTCGGAGAGGGCGCAGGGCCGCCACCATGCGTGGCAGAGGGGGCTCCTAGGGCCAAGGGTAGTGGGGAGGGCTCCTTTGAGGTATATGCTCTGTGGAAGGCCAGGCTAAGGTCAGCGATCTGCGTACAGAAGGCCCTGAGGTAGGGCAAGAGGTTCGGGGGGGCTCCTAGGGCCAAGGGTAGTGGGGAGGGCTCCTCTGAGGTATATGCTCTGTGGAAGGCCAGGCTAAGGTCAGCGATCTGCGTACAGAAGGCCCTGAGGTAGGGCAAGAGGTCCGGGGGGGNACCATGCGTGGCAGAGGGGGCTCCTAGGGCCAAGGGTAGTGGGGAGGGCTCCTCTGAGGTATATGCTCTGTGGAAGGCCAGGCTAAGGTCAGCGATCTGCGTACAGAAGGCCCTGAGGTAGGGCAAGAGGTCCGGGGGGCTCTATCAAGGGCAGTGCTCAAGTGGTGGTCTACTGCTTCTGCGGTGCCTCCAAAGAAGATTCGGCCTGTTGTACCACGTTCTAGGGCTTTAGCAGTTGCTGAGATGAAGTGTTGCTGTATATTTGGGAGGGGGGGGATTGGGCGTCCTCCCCCCCNTCGGCCTGTTGTACCACGTTCTAGGGCTTTAGCAGTTGCTGAGATGAAGTGTTGCTGTATATTTGGGAGGGGGGGGATTGGGCGTCCTCCCCCCCTTCCCAGGCCCCTTCTCAGGGGCGTAGGCGAGGCCGGAGGTCTCCTTGGAGGAGTCTCCATGGAAGGAATTTAGCTTATTAAGCGAGAGTAAGAGAGATTGAGCGTTTTAGAACAAAAAATTCAATCTACGAAAAAAGGTGATGGTTGGGGGTAGTTCTTTATATATAGATTTATTAAAGAAGGTATAAGAGTAGTAGGAGTTCTTTATATATAAAAGTAGAGAGAGTTTATTATTAAATAAGGATTCTTTTTAGTAAATATAGATAAGAAGGGAACTTTAGAGAGTGCTTATAGAGGTTATTAGAGAGACTTCTTAGTATTAAGAAGATTAGAGTATAGTAGGATTTCTTTATTTAGAGAGATATCTTAGGGGACGTCTTTTATTATTTATATAATTAGGTTAGAGTTAGATAGGATAAGCTATTTAGACCTTACTTATTATATAGTTAGATAGTTATATATACTATAGGGGATTAGTAGGAGAATTAAGTAGATTTTATATTATAATATTCGTAAGTATATATTTCTATTAGAACTATATCTTTAGTATAATATTTAAGGTTTTGTACCTACTGTTAGTATACGAAAATATACACGCTAGGGATAGTTTTATACCCTAGGATAGCCCGCGGCGGGTGTTAGATATTTTTGTATATATCTAGCCTCGATTTCCTAGAGGGATCTACCTAAAACTTTATAATAAAGCTACACGAAAACCAGAAAGATCAACATCATATCTAGAAGAATTACGACCCATGAGTCACGTAGTAGATAACCAAGGAAACGAGCGTTTTTTTGGATCAACATCTGGTGTATCCCTGTTCGAATCTTCGCGGCAACAGTTGAACTTCCTCCTCGAAGACAATGAGTAAAAGGTTTCAAGGTTTGACAACGTCTTGGATATCGGAGTGCTACTTGCTAGAAGCCCATCGCTCAAAGCCAAGTTGAAAACCCAGTACGAGAATTTCCCTTTCAGCCACAACTGCGAGCCCATTGTCATGAGCAGCGAGTTCAATAATCTTCATGCAGAGCCACTTGCAGCACAAACTGTAGTAGCCTGCCCCCCAATGGTATTTTTGAACGCATCACTCGATTGTTTTCTGAAAGAAGCTAACTCGATCGATCCGATATGTGACGAAATCAAATTACGTGAGTCTATTGACTTGCATTATTCTTTACCAGAACAGGACCGAAACGAATCAAGAAGCTTGTGCTTTAATAACATTATCATACTTGCAACGACCGCCCAGCTGCGAATTGCCGGCGAATCAGCCGCCATTAATGGAATGGAAAGGGAGCTTTTGAAATCCTTTCTGAGCAACACAACTCGAGCATTTCGAAATTTGGATGCCTTTTGCAGTCCTTCGATTCTCAGTGTGCAAGCTTTGATTACTTCGGTACGTACCATTTTCACTCAAGGTAATGGATATTACTAAAATAAAGGTGGCTAGACCTTTGTTGCCCGGGAGCATTTTCCTCAGTCCGTTGCTGATGCATTATGCCACCGAGTCTGTAATGTTGCACGGACGATGGGCCTTCAACAATCATATGTTCTTGACGGCACTGTAGTTGAACCTGGTGGTGAACGTGAAGCTATCTATTGGACGCTCTACATCATGGACAAACATCGAACCTTCTTAACTGGGTATCCTTGCAATCTTTCCCTCTTTGATTCAGATTTGAATCTGCTTAATACCAATCGTTCAAGTCGTTTATGGAAACTCAAACTTGCTCAGATATACTTGATGGTAATCTGGGAGGAGATCTACATAACGCTCTATTCCCAAAAAGCTATGCGACTTCCCGCTCATCAAAACCTGCACAAAATGACCGGTACCCTGTTTGGACTACTCCGGAACTGGACTTCTCACTATGGCCAAATTCTTGGCCAATCACTAGCTACAGACCCTTCGCCTGCGTCGTACTTGCAAATCGAACTTAAATATTCTTTCCACATAGCTCAAGTGCTTATCTTAAGACACAGCAGCATCCCCTCTAGTGTTCAGCTGTGTATCGATAACGCCCGAGCAGTAGTAATGGTTATTCTTGGTCTATTCCGATCGGCGTTTATGATTGGCTCAATGAGTCTAGCTGCACGGTATGTAATTTTCAACGAGAGTAAAATGTGGCTTAAGGACGTTTCTTTTCTGGTAACACCCTTGTACTTAAATCGTTGTGGGGTTTTGATAGTATTAAATTGCTCTCAGTTGCTACAGTGATTTGCTTTCACAAAGTACATGGTGTAATCCAATCCTCAGAATCCCACATAAAGATGGTCATCGACAACAAGCACGTCGGGATAGAAAACTTCACTAATAACTTCAATAGTCTATTTCGAAATTACCCCGTAGTAGCATTTATCAAGCTGTACAGCTCGTCATTTGGTGCAACAACACCTCAGCTCGCTTCCAGCCTTCAGCTACTTTTGAAATGCTCCAGTGTCTTGGCCTCGGTAAAGACGACCTATCAATCGCCAATAGCTTACTATAACCGTCTTTATCTTGGACTGGCTTGGTATACGGATAACTTGACCATAATCTTGAATGCGGCCGAGCCCAAGGAGCCAAGTCTTGCCCAAGCGGCGCTGCAGCATCCACTTCTTTTTTGAATACACCCTTCTCACATCAACAATTATCCTCAAAATTCACCAAACAACCCTCGTTTTCAGAATGAGCACATCGGTTCTAATGAAGTCGAGTTTACCGAGAGTAGTTTAGGCTCCGTGTGGGAGACACGATGTGATTCTGGGACCCTTTCCTTTGCAGGAACACCCCGATGTAATTTATCAACGAAAAATGCAAATACTTTCGCCTTCGTGAGCAGCAATAGCTTAACGGGGTTGATCCCAAACAGGAGATGACATGGATGAGGCGCAGATGTCAGGCAGTGTTTCACTCGAGCAGTACATACCGGCAAGCATCAATTCCATGCCTGCAGATTTCAGTTTTGACGAGTTAAGTGCTCTTGACTTTCCTGTGCAGTTTGGTAACGAGTATGGTGATCTACACATGTCAAATGGAGACTTTCATCAGCTTTGACATATTGATAATTGTGTCAGGAAGCACACAAATGGTCTAAGGTTTTGTTCACTGGAAGCCCGAGACTACATATAACTTTAGGTTCCTCTAATCTCATCCTTGTGTGTAATTAATGTAAGAGAGGCGGGCACTGCTCTGCACACGCTATCAAAAGTCATTACACTAAAAATCTGGCACAGTACCCCAATTGTCCCATTTCACCTAGTACAATAAGAAATGAAAAGTAACAATTATTCTTAACTATTCATATAATTCTTTTGGTTGTGTAAGATCTTTAGGGTAATACTCTTTGTATAACTCAGGTGTGTACAGAGTAATGCCCGCCGCCTCTCTTACTTCATCAAACTGCATTGTACAGTACTACATACCCATTCTCACGAGGATGATTTCATTAAGTATAGGTAGAAACAATTAGGGTAGAGAGGCTCCTTAGACTAGACGCGATTCATCGATATCCTTTCGAGTATTCTACGTTCAATATCTTTTACGACATGGTACTGGGAGGATTCCAAGAATCAGTTGGATAAAACTGGTCTAAGGAATATAAAGATATGCAACCAGGTCTGTTTTTATAAATTCAGGAGTCCATATACTCAAGATCTACTATCTTGTATGAGTATTAGATATTATATCATTGAAATTCAATTTTTATATATCCACGCAAATATATAAGTGGAATTACTCTCCGATTAGCGTTGTATTGCCGCCTATTTTCACTCAACCACACCCAAAGACTCTTCCAAGGGCTCACCATTAACGATAACAGGACTCGCATTCATAGCAAAATACAAGGCCCTCGCAAACACGGTCTTACTCGGATTTCTCCACGAGTGGTTCGTTCCTTTCTGCACCGCCACATCGCCCGCTTTAATCAACCTCTTCTCCCCACTCTCCAGCTCCAACTCCAACTCGCCTTCATTAGCGACGCCGAAATCCAGCGTGACCGTTCGATGCCATGCTGGCTCTCCACCGGGGTGATAGTCGACATATTGTAGGACTACACCCCTGGGATCATGAACGGTGGCCGATTGATTAGGTGGTCCCTGTAACCCGAGAGATCTTCATCGTGGGAGAGAGGCGCTGGGAATTTGCGCGTTGTGTAGGCGAGGAAGAGGTCACAACCGATGTTAGTGCGTTCCCAGTGCACTTTTTCTTCGAGACCAGTCTCGAACGTGGCTTTCACATTGGCATCGTGTGTGGTGATGAAGCGCGTAATTTCGCGGTGGGTTTTCTCTGGGAGTTCAGTTGACGACATGATAGTGATTTGAAGCGTGAGACTTTAATGGTATGATTGAGGGTGGTTGATTTATTGTTGAGAGGAGAGAATTGTAGTAGAAGCAGAGTCATTTTAATTGTTTCTCCTGTCGCAGGTGTCTGTAGACCTTTATATCATCCATTCTTCTTATTTTTCGATGTCTAGCACATGCATGCTTGTCATCTGGACGGTTCGTTAGCCAGAATCCGTTGTAGGTTGATGCATTGTCAAGAGTGGACCACAAATCAAGTGGTAATAGTATTGTTGAGTACCAAGACTAAAAGTGGGTATCGTAAACCCAAAAGGTCAGATGTACATATATGCCGTTGAGAGGATAAATCCATCGTGTAGAAAAAATGATTCAGTTACAAACGATTTCAAGTCCTTTAAAACATGTCGTGGTTCGTTTGATTGTGGTATCTTTACAACCATTACCAAGATATTTTGTTATTACATTCACTCCAAAAATCGCCATTTACATCTCCCTCATGTTTTGCTCGTAGACCCTCAACATGACCAACATAACGTTTGAAGAAACTATGCCCATCCGGGATGAGTCAAGTAACAGAGCACCCAGCCAAGATGTCACTCTGCCCATCGACAGCGAAGAACGCCCAGAAGGCTCACTCAGAGAGACAATACGAAACCCAGACCTCGTGGCTTTTCAACTCAACGATACATCTAATCCCTATAACTGGTCTATGGGGGAAAAACTCATGATCACCGCAATCTGGGTGCTAGCAAACCTAGTAACCTGTATTGCTAGTTCTATTTTCAGTAGCGGGAACTCTTCTATTCGAGCCGAGTTCCATGTCAGTGTATCGGTGGCTACTTTAGGAGTCAGCTTGTTTTTAGTAGTACGTTTTACATTACAACCATGATTCAATAACGGTATTTCCCATTCTTTTACTGACTTTTAAGTAGGGATACACGGTTGGAACCCCTGTCTGGGGACCATTGTCTGAACGTTTCGGTCGCAAAATACCTGCAACCATCGGAATGTGCTTGTTTACCGCATTTTGCCTCCCAGTTGCACTCGGGAAAGACATCGAGACAATTTTGGTAGGAAGATTCTTTTGCGGCGTCTTTGGCGGGTCGGCATTAGCTATTTTCGGGGGCGGTCTAGTCGATATTTGGAATCCAATCCAGCGAGGCGTTGCTATGGCTGGTTGTATTGGCTCTATCTTCGGCAGTCCACTTCTTGCTCCCGTTATGGGTGGGTTCATTGTTGAAAGCTATCTCGGATGGAGGTGGTGTCATTGGCTTAGCGCTATCATGGGTTTGTTCTGCTCTCTGGTTATGTTGGCCTTCCTTCCCGAAACCCATGGTCCTACAATTCTGCGACGCAAGTCAAAAGCACTTCGCAAGGCTGGCAACCCTGAGGCTCATTGCGTTTATGATAACGAGCAAACTGGCTTTAAAACGCTTATAACTGTTTACCTTGTTCGCCCGTTCAGTACGCAGAAATTCAAAAATTTATATTGAGAGCAAACTAATATATGAATCTAGTCATGCTTTTGAGAGAGCCGATTTTGTTATTGATAACCATATATCAATCCTTCATTTACGGTATTCTGTACCTGGTTCTTGTCTCTTATCCAATAGCCTTTCGCGAAGTGCGTGGCTGGTCGCTGGAAATTAGTGGCTTACCATTTCTGGGATTGTTCCTGGGAATTATCCTAGGATGCGCGATTGTGGTGATCTATACTAAGACCAGATTTACAAGACTTACGATTATAAACCAAGGTAAGTGGTGGTGGCTGAAATTTTCCTCTTCCTCTTTTGAATCAGTTCAGAAGAGCTGAAACATCTTTCTCTCCCAAAGCAGTCTTTCTTTCTCCTCGATCTATATCATCTCAAATAGTTAGCAATGTTGACTTTCATACTTTCCAGGTGTCGTTATTCCAGAGCAAAGACTTCCTGTAATGATAATTGGCGGAAGCCTCCTTCCGATAGGCCTCTTCACCTTCGCCTGGACCTCACATCCTGATACCCATTGGTCAGGAATGGTTATTGGAAGCATACCGGTGGGGATGGGGATGTACATGGTTTTCGTGCAATGTCTCAACTACCTTATAGACGTCTATCTGCAAATCGCCAACAGTGCACTCGGTGCTAACACTTTTGTCCGAAATTTCTTCGCGGCAGGATTTCCGTTGTTTGGGCCTGCTATGTACCACACCCTTAAGGTAGACTGGGCAACAAGTATTTTGGGGTTTGCTGCCATTGCAATGATCCCAATTCCTATGGTCTTCTTCAAGTACGGCCACAAGATCCGTGGAATGTCAAATAACATTGCCAATCGAAAATAGTTTAGCATTCATGAGCGCGACTCTTGGATACGTCCTTGCATTTTTGATCCATTTCTTTGTTTCAATGGCATGGGAGCATTGCTGCTACAGAAGAGGCCGTCAGCCCCGAGCATGGCCAAGGGGGTGTCAAGGCAGATTAGATGTACTTTTGCAGTCGGTCGAGATTTGTGGGCACATGGCTTGACTTCGTACAGTAGCATAGGGTAAGACAGTCTGGCGAAACTCTGTACACACCCTAAGAACCTATTATGCTCCAATTCCTAAAATAGTAAAATTAATTGTCCGAAATGACTTAGATTAATAAAGATATACTCATTTGAATTATCCTAAATGGCTCGCATAATGATCTTAGTCGTACAAGGCTGTTAGAACAATTTGTCATTCTAAACTAGGTGTATCCAGAGTTTCGCCCAACTTTCTTACTTTTTGGGGGGTTAATTAAGACGTGTTTTCTTTTGGTCTGGAATATATCTCTTCTAGGCAAAGACTAAAGACATTGGAAAAACAGTCTTCTGAATTATTTTTAGTAGGGTTTTTCTTAAACGTGTAAGTATTTCATGAAACTGCTAATTAAATCACTCGGAATTTTAACCTCTGCGATTGGGAGTCCAACTTTCCTTGACTTTTTGGTCCGTCAATAACTCAAAGATTCCGACGGCTCAACTTGATTCGGATTTTATCAGTGAAAACAAACCACCAATAATGCACTTTCCAATCTTGCTTCACGGGTTCCATCTATTAGCAGTTAGAGCTTATTGTCCTTGAGAAAAAGATGAAAGAAAGAATAGAGTCCACCTACCTCATATCGACCAAAAAGAGTAGCTGTAACCTTTGACATTTCCGTAAGAGCCAAGTTCTTACCCGTACAAACCCTATTGCCCCCGCCAAAAATAAAATCTACATCCTTCAAGATTTTCAATCTAGCTTCAGCAGTATCCTCGCTCTCATCCTCACTCTTCAGCCATCTTTCTGGTCGGAACACTTCAACGTCTTCACCGTGGATTTCCTTGTTACGAGTTACTACCCAGGGATTCATCCCTACTATTGTACCGGAGGGGATCACCCTTCCATCAGGTAGACCGAGTCCTTGTGCTGGGACGATGCGTTCTAGGGTTTGACCAACTGGTGGATGGATTCGAAGTGCTTCTTTGATGACAGCTTGTAGCTATGGTAGTTTCTGAGTGGTGGCATACGTGGCAGGGAATGGGATATTGGCAGCGTCGATTTCGGCGACTAGCTTGGCAAGTACGGAGGGATTCTTGAGAACTTGGTATACAATCGCTTTTTGTGAAATTGCCGTGATATCTGCTCCGGCCAGCATCTTCGCTTAGATTAGCATCTACTCGCTTGAATTGGACGTTTGGCAGTGGGAAGCCTACATTGAGAAGAAGATATCCCACTACTTCATTATCGGTGATTATTTCTGGATTTACGGCTTTGGCTTCGATGAAGCTGTTAAGAAAATCGTGCGGTGATTTGCTTTCATTGGAAGTCGATACACGGTCTATCAAACGCTCAACACAATATCCTGCGACGTTGTTGAAAGTACGGAACTTGATCGGAGACCACGGATTTTTGCCTAGCCATGTATCAAGAACAGGCATTTGTCCAACCTATTCAGAGATGGACTGTTAACACGGCTACAAAGTATGATGTCGAGAACACGTACAGTACCAAAGTAGTGCATAATCGACTCCGCAGTAAGAATCGTATCTCGAACATCCACCCCAGACTTCAGAAAGTCCATTTCCTTGCTAAATGTTATCTCTCCGACTACATCCCATGACACTTGAGGCAGAAGTTAGCATCCATTTAAAGGGCTAATAACTACGTAAAACCCACAGTATGCAATCCAGTCAGCAATATCACAGGTCTTCCCAGCGTTCATTCCGTTTACAAATCGAAGTTCCAGTTGTTCGCAACACAGAATGATGGTCTTGCTAATTGCATCCTCCATTTCAAGGATATTTTTCATCGAATAAAGCTTCTGGATAGGCTTCATATACTTTGCATGGAAAGCATTACTTCTGGTACCAAACACATTCTGGATAGTATGGCCATCCTGAACAACGGCATTCACCGAGTAGAAATCGCTCTAAAATTATTGTCAGTATCTTTGGTATTTTACTTGAAGACCAAACATGTTTGGATTCACCTTGAGGAAGTTTCCACGGGTCGAATATACAGTCTTGATCAGGTGTGGATCGCTAAGACTAACAACATTAGGACCGATACGAACAGCTGGTCCATGTTTCCCATGCAAATGTCGCTGAGTGATGATTTGGGTGGCATTTTAATGATCGATCAGCCTCCAGAGATCTGCAAATCGTGCCCAAAAAAGCCCTGGATTATGTCTTAGAGGGGAGAAAAGGATCGAATGAAGTGTACGCAAGAGGAATGCAGCTAGGCCAATAGCCACGAGACTAACAAACAGTCCCATTTTACGTTACCCAGCAAGGAAATATCAGTATAACCATTTAAGGGTTTTAAGTTCCAGAGAGTTGAATTTGGTGAAAGGAAGAGAACCAGCACAATGGTTTGGTTCGGATGATGGCTTGGCTGCGCATGCGGAAGATAAGTGAAGATTTCTCGACCCAAAAATCAGCCCAATAGTTGTGGTCTATTTATGTCTTATCAGAAATTGTGGATATCTACTCCGTAATATAGAATAATTGGGGTCTGGAGAATACCACCCTGGCTGTTAGATAAACCAGTTGGATTTACTGTTGTCTAGAGGAAAAACTGACACGTATATCAATTATACTTATAAACTCGGCGAAGCCAGAGAGGGCAACTATTAAGGGTACTGCCAGCTTCTAGGACCATGAAACACAGGTTCGTCGTCGAGGTAAGTTTCTTTGAAGTCCTTGCAATTCTTGCCGAATCAGCAATCTACTTGATACACATGGTTGTCAAGGACAATTCCCCGCGGCCCACTATGGTTAAGCGGGCCCGGCGATAGGGAAGAAGGGGGAAGCCCAAGGGGTCTTGTCAAAGACTGAAAATCCAGGCAAGGTAAGGTTACATTCTGCCATCGTGGGGCGTCCAATACGAAAGTTGAGCCGCAAGCCTATGCTCATCTCAATCTACCAAATTCGGAAATTCAGGTTCCAAGTATATAATGAACATTTTTGTGTTAGACAACATTCTTTCTTTGCAACCGTTCAATCTTCAATGAGTCGAGACAAGAACTTGTACATCTACACTCGCACGATTTTGATGAAAACTATGACCTAATTAACTTGACATGGAGGCGGCGAAAGAAACGGAGATATGAACTGTATTCGGCTGGCTGATTGGTCTTTGGGACCAAACATGCTGTGCTGTGCCCTACAACTAGTCCGTGTATAGCGAAAGCAGCCTCGATATGGGGAGGAGGCCGGTTTCAATGATAACAAAAGTTCTCTCCACATCACTACTTCAACTCCACGTCCGAGCCCCGGATATCCTCCCCGGTACTTGTGGGGATTTGAGCGAGCATGTACTGTACTTCGTAAGGTTGCTTCCGCGTCGATCAGAAAATAATTCCGGTTGGAGACTTGTAGACACCAAAAATAACTTATTTAATAAGACTCGTACTGATAGGGTTGGTAATGATATGCGAAGTATGAACATAGCGGGTACTTAATCGTTCAACTCGAAGCCGGAAAACAATAGCCAAGCAGATACGTACGAACGCATGCTAAGGCACAGAGTAATGAGGCAAAGATTCATCAACAATTAGCACCAGATCATTGACCTTTCTCGTAAAACGGCTTCAACACCGAGTACCGGCAGGACCGATCTTGAAGACCGATCTTCTGCAGCCTACTTGGCTACATATGTCATATGTAACACAACATTGGTAGGCTGCTTACAACGCTAGGATAGCCAGATTGAAATGATACTCTGACTGGGCTATGCTAGGCTGCTTAAAAGTCATTTTCAAGTCTGGTGAGGCTCAAAAGATTGATGTAAATGGCAGGAAGTCCGATAGGCAGGGTCAGGGGATATACTCTAGCCACTGGGCGATTGACAACGGCAGTCCTTCACTGAAAAAGATATTTCTCGAAATTCCAGAACAATGCAGAAGTTTACATCTACCGACGTCGTTCGTCGAAAACTAAGTTGTCGAAGTTCCAGGTCGTTTCAACAACATGAGCCTCATTACAAGTCTTGGGATCACTACTAACTGGGTGATGTGGATTGAGGCGTTGATAGGATTGGTTTTTGTTCTAGCAAGATACTACACGCGAAAGTTTGTGATTCACAGCGTCGGTTGGGATGATTACTGGATTATTATTAGCTTGGTAGGGCTCAAGGTTCAACATTGATTCATAAGTGATGTGGCTAACCCATTTTGAAAAGGTACTCTTCTTCTTGTTTTGCGCTTTCACAACTGCATCCTCGTTTTCAGGATTAGGAGCTTTGAGAAAAGACCTAGATCCGGCTGCATATTCGATGGCCATGAAATGGGAACTTATTGGCCAGTCGATTTGCATCTTCGCCATTCCGACAAGCAAAAGTTCGGTCGCCTTGTTTCTTCTCCGGATTGTGGTCAACAAATGGCACAGGTACATTCTCTGGTTCTGCATTGTATCCACGGTGATTGCGGGCTGCACAAGCGCAATCGGCATTTTCTTCCAATGCGTGCCAGTCCAAAAGATATGGGATCCGACAGTGGAGGGATACTATAAATTGAAGTTCATATACATGGGCCTCTTTACCGCTGGTAAGTGAACGGTTTTTGCCACATGAAATATGTTAACAATGTACAGGTTGGTCTTCCTTAATGGACTTTGTTCTGGCCCTGTTACCATGGCACGTCTTATGGTCTTTGAATATGAAGAGAAAAGAAAAGTACACAGTGGCAATCGGGCTCAGCCTGGGGGTTTTGTGAGATTTGTCCTCTCAAATATGACAAAACGTGTATAGGCTAACGTTAATATTGCACAGCGCAGGAGCTTGCGGCATCGTTCGGACAATTTTGCTTCAAAGCCTTAATGCAGAAGAGTATATCCGTAAGCCCTTATCCTAGATTCAAACTTGATATATTGACTAACCTTGATAGATGACACTGTCCCAATGGTCCTTTGGTCCTCCACCAAACTTCTCGTTACCATAATATACGCCTCCGTCATCGTTCTTCGCCCGCTGTATGTGAAAATACGTCGGGGAAGTAAAGCCGATAGCTCAGACGAGCCTCATAGCTTCCCACTCCCAGATTACCCGAGCAAGAGAAAGTAAAAACATCTTAAAAGATTGAGTAGTGTCGAGCCTGAGACCAAAATCTATCAAGGTGTTGGCATGACAAACACGACGTCGTCCGCGAATAAACACAACGATCCCACAAATACTAGCGAGGAAAGCATACTCAGAGAACTCCGCGAGGACGACTTCCGATTCGGCACCAAACAAGGCATTAGGAGGACGGACGCAGTCACAGTAACATTCGAAGCAAAAAATGGGGACAAATTTATTGCATGCGAAGCAAGAGGAGAGGGCCATGATTAGCTCAAATCTGCGAGCGGAAAATGAGATGTATGAACATGTGCAATCGATATACTAGACTCGACTCTTGAAATTGAAGGAAGTCGAAACACAATTCTCTATCATGGAAGTTTTCCAAGTTTGCTTCTCAGAATCTTGGTAAAAGGTATGGGTACGTTACTTAGGTACTCGAAGAAGGATACCAGGTAGTAACTCAAATGAAACATGGCTCGAAAGCTCAAGGCCACATCAGGCAGAAGCATTTTGTATTTTCCGCCGGCAGTATTTCTGACCGCGAATTTGACAGCTACCACAGGCAAACTACTCGAAGATACCGGCTTATTTGAGAAACACCTGGTCAGTCAGTAAGGGTAGATCCCTATGTTGGAAATTTTCCCGGCGTTTGAAGTTAGTATAGTATGGTTGAGAGCAACCATTTCAATCTCACCACCATTCGCAGCTTCAGAATCAACTGATTGATAATTCAAGCAAATCTTAGATCTCATTTTCAAGTCTCTGCTGTGTGTAGTCTTTCAGAGATATGGATTCCGTCCCCGCCAAGCCAAGCTCCCAAGGTTGCCGGCACCTCTGCGGGATCCGCCGGTGCTCCAATGTTATTTCCCCTATGACTGTCACCGAGAATACAGTATTAATATGGTTTTGACTTCACCGTCTCTTTGTCGATATTAATTGGTGTTTGGGCAGCAGTCCTCGAACATTAGAATGATCCCAATCTTGACAACTCGGCAAGCCGAAGAGCTGTATGTGGCAGGATAGCTCCACGCGAACAATAGCTCAGGGGCCATGCTAATGCTGTGGCACCCATAGACATAAATCGATAATAGCATACTTTTCTTCGGCCGGCTTCTCAGATGTAGCAGAGACACTCAGGGCGAGTCTGAATCTCGACGATGGAATATTCGACGCAGAGACAGCAAGGAGGTATGAAGGTCTGCTGGAGAAGAAATGGACGGGTGTAGTTCGTTTACAAAAAAAGGTCAGGCTCAAGTCCAATAGGCAGTAGGAATGGGCTGCTAGTAACTGTATCTAACCTTGCGGCCTCACTAGATAATGGATTTAGAAAACCGGAACTCAGTCCTCCAATTCCAACTTGACAATGCCACACCGAGTGTATCTCGACGAACACAAGATCCTGTCTCCTGGTTGCCCAAATCACCTGCACGATATACTCTAGAATCACATCAGAAAGAAGTGACCTGCGTTGCATTTCACCCGGTCTTTTCCTCCCTCGCGTCTGGCTCACAAGATTGCACGATCAAAATTTGGGATTGGGAGCTGGGGGAACTGGAGCGGACAATCAAGGGGCATACAAGAACTGTGACGGATCTAGACTTTGGGGGACCGAGAGGCGGCACAATTTTGGCGTCTTGTAGCATTGACATGACTATCAAATTATGGGATCCTTCGAACGATTACAAAAACATACGCACGTTACACGGCCACGAGCATAGTGTCAGTGCCGTTCGATTTATCCCATCGGGCGCAGGGCAAGCATCGGGAAACCTGCTTGTCAGTGCTAGTCGAGATACGTCCATCAGAATCTGGGATGTCAATACCGGCTATTGTGTGAATACGATAAATGGCCATACTGGTTGGATACGGGACATCTTTCCTTCTCTCGATGGCCAGTTCCTTCTTTCCACGGGAGATGACAAAACAGGCAGACTATGGGATATCTCCGCCGCGACCCCCGAAGAAAGGACCGTCTTGACTGGCCATGACAACTTCAATGTATGTACTTCCGGATTTTCGATGGCCTTTTTTCCAGAAGATAAACACCGGTCTAGTGCCCACAGTCGAGGAAATAGTTTCCGCGTTTTCAAATTCTCTCCTGGAAGATCTTACTGACTCTAGATCTAAGGAATGCTGTGCTCTGGCACCTCCAGCTTCTTATCAGTATCTGGCTCAAATGGCTGGAATGAAGAAACTACCACCAGCAAGTAGTAGTGCAGAATTTATGGCAACAGGATCTCGGGACAAGGACATAAAAATCTGGGACTCTCGCGGCCTTTGCATCAAAACCTTGACTGGCCATAATAATTGGGTCCGGTCCTTGATCTTCCACCCTGGCGGCAAATATCTTGTGTCTGTTTCGGACGATAAGAGTCTTCGGTGCTGGGATTTGAGCCAGGAAGGCAAGTGTGTGAAGGTCGTTTCTGAAGTACACGATCATTTTGTCACTTGTCTGAGATGGGCACCTGAAAGTCAGGGTGGGCTTCTCAATGGGATGCCTAATGGCATAGACACAAAATTTGCCCTCGATACGCAGATCCGCTGCGTGATTGCTACTGGATGTGCGGACATGAAGATCAGGATATTCGCCAATTGAAGCGGATAAAATTGCAGAAACCCCAATGGGTTGTAGCTAATTGTACTATATAGGTGGAATTCCTGGAAACCGTGGAAAGGTAATTAATGTTCATATTATTTAAATTTACCTACCTAGCACCTAAAGGATGAAGGGTAAGGAAGAATTGTCCGCTGTTAGCGATTGGCAAAGGATTTCTCACGCCCGTTCAATGATCAGTCGAATTTCTTAACGACGGCTAGATATAAACAATCTACTTCTTCTGAAGCGCAAGCCCATGCACATCAGGCTTTTGCTTCAACTGATTAAGCTTAGCTTAATGATAGTCGACTCATACGACACAGAAAGCCATCTGATAGATGAGCAGATGACTTAAGACTTACAAATACAAACTTACTCTCATAAAGTGAATTCCAGACATCATACACGTGATTTTGAATACTGATATTTATATTCCCACCTACATCTAGATAATCCAAGCAATCGATTCCACAAACTATCCTAATACTCTTCATGAACCTCAAAATAAAATTCTTACAGACATAAATATGAGGAGAAAAGGCTGAAACAACACGATATCAAGTCATATGCTGGAATAATTGCTTGCATTTTTTGCTTGGGCTAATAGTAATCAAATCATCGAACCCTCGTGCTGTGTATCAAACTGTTTGCAAGAGTCAGTAATGCCCACGTAAACAGTTGTCTTGCAAAAGCTTAGTTAACTTGGAAACCTTTCCAACGCCAAAACATCATTTAACGTCAGCACCTACTGTATTGACAGAAATCCTTTCCATTTTGCAAAATACACAATAGACGCATTCATTCAATCTGATAATATGGATGGTAAGAGTAACCTTCCTTCGCCCCTTCCGAGTGACCAAATTCAAAAGTCTCAAGATAAAACCCTCAGCTCTAGCACCAGCCCAGTTAGTGAGGTTCCTTCATCATCGCAAAGAACTGAAACCTCCGATTCCAGCTCCGCAGTTCCAAAAAAAGAACTCCCTTCTTCTCAGAAACCGTCTACTGTGTCTTTCTCGAGTGGCCAAACTTCGAAAAACACAAGTTTCGCTTCTCAGGGAACTCATTTCAGTCGCTCTGACGCCCCCAGCCCAGAAAGTGAACGCTTACAAGCAGGTGCATCTTTTTCTCGCTCAGATGCTCCCAGTCCAGAGAGTGGCAGTTTCCAGTCTCAGAGATCCGGTCTCAGTCACTCTGATGTGTTGAAGTCAGAAGGTGTGGAGGAGAGAGATTTTCGAAGTGAAGAATCTGGAGCACCAACTTCATCTACGGCTTCACGCTCCTCTTCTTTATCCACCAGGAGAAGAGAGCAAGGCATCAAGTCAGAAGCCTTCATTTGACATCTCAAAGGAGGAAAGATAGTGGCGTTTGTAAATGAGAAACAATCAGGAGCATTTTTCTCAAGTGGCGGCGCTTTGGAGATGTTTCGTGGGATGAGCAGAAGCTAGATGCGGGGAAGTGAGAAACATGCGTGTTTAGTATGATTGAAAGTAAAAGCCGCTTAGCAGAATCATAAAAATTGAGCTTGACTTATATAGGAATTGAGTAATTGATACCTAGATTTTACCAATTGATATTCGAAAACCACAAACCTAACATAAGTGTTGGTTTGACTCTAATAGAGAGTCTAGACAAAGTGTTAATGCAAATGGAATAGTATCGTATTCGACTATCAGATGTGTACACCGAGTAAAGGTTGTAGGTGCTCGCTATTATATAGTAGTGCTAAGGCGCTAGCGCCCCTGCTAGCCCTAAGGCCAGCTTGTACGTACTATAACTCATACCGAGTATTCACTTAATATTTGTAGAGTAATACTAGATTTACTCTTAAAAAGAGAAGTAAATACTCGGTACTCAAATAACTAATTAGCTAAACTAAATCTATCCTATTTTATATTTCTTGTCTAATTAGAATCCTCGATTCGTTACTTATTAATCCGAATTATTATTAGATCTATTATCCTTATTATTACGTTTAACCTACTCTTTAATTACAATATTAATCTTATTTAAATCGATTAATTTTATAAGCGCCTAGTAGGGCTTTGATTTCGTTATAGCGTTAGTAGGATTCGAATCTCTCTTAATCTATATGATATTATAAATCTCTTATTATTTATATACTTATTATAAAGCTATAACATTAATTATAAGACGCTTCTTCTTAGTAGTACTAAGTTTTATTAAGTATTTATAAATTAACTTTAAATCTGTATAAATAGTAACGTACTTCATAAGGAGTCCGGATTTATAAGCAGTCCGGATTTTTTACCCCACCATTGACCACCCTACACACTTTCAATCTACATAACTTACCCAATTATTGTTCAAATGTCTCGAAAAGAAGGTCAATTTACAAGCTTAAAAGCAGCTTGTACAAGGTACGATGCGCCATATTCTAATACTTACGACCGCGTCAAGGGAGCTATTCCACAACGCGATTTCCGACCCCGAAACCAGAAACTCACCGACCTCGAGGAAT